CATTTTGACTCTGATTAGATTGTGATTTTTCAAACATGCTGCTATTACTTCCTTTATAATTGATTCCAAAACTTTTCCAACAGTGGATGTTAGGCTAATCAGCCCACAGTTACCTGCTTTTTTGCCTCCCTTTCCGTTTGAATAGGGGTGTTACATGGCAGTTTTCCAATCCTCTGGTACTTTTCCAAAATCTAAGGATTTTTTAGAAAATCACAACCAATGTATCCACTATCTCTGTAGCTACCCCTTCTCAGATTGTAGGAAGCAAGCTATCAGGCCCAGGGGATTTATCTGCCTTTAGCCCCATTATTTTGTCTAATACGACTTCTCTAGTGATGGTGATGGTACTTAATTCCACACCCCCTGTATTCTTTGGTAGTTTGAAGTATCTTCCATCATAAAGGCTAATGCAAGATATCTGTTTAATTCCTCTACCATTTCCTTGTTCCCTATAACTTTCTCCCAGATTCATTTTCTAAGGAGCCTATGTTCACTTTGACCTCTTTCTTCCTTTTCATATTATATATATATAGAAGCTCTCATTGTCAGTCTCCTAGTTAAGCTGAGATTGAATTTTAAAATTCTCAGCCTTGTTTACAAATTCTTCCTTCTCTACAACTTCCTCCAGCCCCACAACCCTCCAAGTTATGCAAGTACCATCTAGCCTCTTGAGTATTCCTATTTTTAACTGTTCCACAATTGCCTGCCATGCCGTCAGCTGACTGAGCCCTGAGCTCTCAAATTCTGTTCCTAAATCACTCCACCTCGCTCTCGAATCTATGTCCTCACCTTAAATAAAGGGAATTACTGAAGAAAGAGTTGTTCAAAGTGGATGTGAAAATAGATACTCAGATGAGCAGTGACAGATATTTCATATCACTCAGGAAAAATTTATTCTAATCAAAAAGAAATACTTGATAGGAATCACTTGTGATTAACAAAGGTTGTCAAGGAGAGAATCCAAACAAAAAATAAGGTATCCGAAATGGTTAAAAGTAGTGGTAGGCCAGAGGATTGGGAATTTTTTTTTAGGAACCAATAATAAGTAAGTAAAAGGTCATTAAAAAAGATAAAATTGTTTATAAAAGTAAATTGGCAAAAAATATAATAACAAACACCAAGGATTTCTATGAGTAAAAATGAAAAAAAAATAGCTGAGGTAAGTGTGGGATTCTTGGAAGTTGTGACTGGGGAGTTGATAACATGAATCAGGGAAACGGTAAATAATGTAAACCCAAAATTTTGTATTATTTTTCACAGTGGAAGTCATTATAAACGTCCCAGAGAACACTCATTACAGATAAGAATTAGAATTAGAATTATGTTTTATTGTCATGTGTACTCAAGTACAGAGATAAAGGAGTAGAATGAAAAGTTTAAAATGTCACCATTCACGGTGCCATTTAGGTACAAGGTGCCTAGGTGCAAAATCTTAGGTTATAAAGTAGAAAAATAAATAAATACGTTAAATGTTCAACATTACAGTTCTTGTCAGTATAAAGTAGTAATTACAGTCCTTCTTTAGCCATGGGCCAGCAGTCACTCCACACTGGGCTTTCCCCAGGAGGGCTCGATCTTTCTCCCACACTGAGCTCGATCTCTCCCCGCGCTGGACTCGATCTCTTGATGCCTGCCCCTCCACACTAATTTGAGAAAAGATTTTGTAACAGTCTCTATCACGAGGGACAAAGTATTTGACAAATTAAGGGGACTAAGGGCAGATAAACCACCAGGACCTGATGGCCTGCACTCAAGGATTTTAAAGAAAGTAGCTGTAGAGATGATGGAGGAATTTGTTGAAAATGTGCAAAATTTATTAGATTCTGGCAGGGATGGAAAATGGATGGAAAACCACTGATGAGACTCCCCTGTTGAAGAAGGGAGGAAGACAGAAAGCAGGAAACTATAAGTTAGTTACCTAAAATTTGTCATTTCAAAAATTAAGAAGTGTCCACTATTAAGGTAGAAATAGCAGGGCATTTAGAAAATTCAAGTAAATAGAGTCAACATGGTTTTGTGAAATGAAAATTATGCTTGACAAATTTGTTCTTTCAGGATATAACAAGCAGAATTGATACAGGAGAATCGGTAGATGGAATGTATTTGTATTTGAAGAAGATATTTGATCAGGTGCCACGTGAAAGATTGTTGCATAAGGTAGAAGCTCATGGTTTTTGGGAGTAACATATTAACACGGTTGAGGATTGGTTAATACACAGAAGACAGAGAGTCAAGTATAAAGGGTCCTTTTCAAATAGAAAAGGTATAGCTAGTGGAATACCACAAGGATTCGTGCTAGGGCCTTAATTATTTATCATCAATATTAATGATTTGGAAGAGGGGGCAGAATGTAATGTATCCAAATTTGTCCATGATATAAAATAAGGTGGGAGATCGTGTTGTGATGACGACGTAAAGAATTTGCATGGGGATAGAACAAAAACAGAAGTTGCAGGAAAACCTCAGCAGGTCTGGCAGCATCTGCAAAGAAAAATCAGGGTTAACATTTCAGGTCCAGTGGCCCTTCCCCAGAATCATGCATGGGGATAGGTTGAGTGTATGGACAAAATGTTGGCAGGTGGTATTTAATATAAGCACATGTACTTTGGAAGTAAGAATCAAAAGACAGACTATCATTGAAATGGAGTGAGGCTTAAAACAGAAAAAATTGGCACTTCCTCTGTAGCTGGTAATTAAGAAGGCAAATTAAATTTTGGCCTTTGTTAATAAGAGGTCGAAGTTTAAAAATAGGGAACTTCAGTTACAACTGCACAGGGTGTTGTTGAGGCTGCATCTGGAGTAGTGTACAGTTTTGATTCCCATATTTAAAAAAAAATTTTGGCATTGAAGGCTGTTCAGAAGAGATTCATTAAACTGATTACTGAAATGAAAGGGGGTGACTTATCAAAAACAGCTGAACAAGTTGGGCCTTTATTCATTAGAGTTTAGAAGAATGAGGAGTAATCTTATTGAAACATACAAGATTCTGAGGGGCCTTTTCAGGGTAATCCTTAAGAGAATGTTTTCACTATCAGGGGAATCTTGAATAAGGAAGCAAAGCAGAGGCAAGAAGGAATTTCTTCTCCCAGTGGGTAGTAAATATCCAAAATTCTGTACCCCAGAGATCTGTGGAGACAAGATCACTGAAAATAATTACAGAGGAATTATATAGATTTTTGAAATATTGTGGAGTTGAGGGCAATCAGTGGCTGGCATGAAAGAGGAGTCCAGGCTTGGGGTTGATCATCCATGGCCTTACAGAATGATGGGGCAGGCTTGAGGGACTTAATGGACTACACCTCTTTCAAATTTTCTGGCATTTCTTCTGTAAGACACTCCATAAAACTTCACTCTTTTTGAGTCTTTTTGACAATCTGCCTTATTGTCACCCTGTGGGTGTGATATTTTGTTTTTAGATATTTTCAATTCAACCTGTTCAGAGATATTATCACACACCTCTGAACAGGTGAGACTTGAACCTAGGTCTTCTGACTCAGCGGGAGGAACTATCACTGTGTCACAAGAGCCACCAGTTTGACCCTGCCTTTTCAAAGCACATTGGATATTTTATTAGATTAAAGTTGCATAAGATTGTTAAGAATCTGGCTGTGTTGTTACAAGCTGATGTCTGAATGCTCTGATGTTTAAAATAACAAACTGAAGTCAGGAAGGAGAGCAATCACAAATAGACAGGAGCCTGAGCTGATTGGTATGTTAATAAAAACCTGGCAGATATCCTTTCAGTTGATTGCATATTACAGATCTGATTGTGATGCTAAACACAGAAAACATCAAATCCTCATGTTCTATAGTCAAAGCATTAACATATGTACAAATTCTTGTTGCAATTTCTGAACAGCTGCTCGATGAATTGAGATTAAACATTGCCCTATTGCATGAATTTTACCCATTCAGGTGATACTTTTTTTGATGCCAATGTAACTTAAATAGTGCAAGCTCTTCAGCTCATTTACCCTATGATTAATGCTCTCTCAGGGGTTAGTCATGCTTGTGTTGTCTCTCAGCTGCAAACAGCCATTGTTCCCATAGTGTCTGCCTCACATGACACACTACTCATTAGCTCCTGCTAATTAGTGTCACTCGACATCTCTACAACAAACATTGTCACAACATTCTCCTTCAAAAGAAAATGCAGCTATTCTGTGTAATCAAATATCAATATTAATTCATCAAACCATCATGAGAGGGAGGGACTGTGTGTGAGAGAGAGAGAGTGTGAGGGAGCCAGAGTGTAGGAGAGAGAGTGTGTGAGTGAGACAGAAAGTTAGAGTGTAAGTAAGAGACGGAGTAAGTGTATGAGGGAGGGTGAGTAAGTAAGGGAGGAAAATGAATGTTAGAGAGCTTGAGAGTATATGAGTGAGACAGACAGGGTGAGTATGTGTAGAAGGGAAAGAGGGTGTGGGAAGGAAGGAGACTGTCAGTGAATAATGAGACAGAATCTTACATAGTCCACCCTCCACCTGTTCCCTCCCGAAGACCTGTCCACAAATCCGCTGGCAGTTGTGTGAGCCCATCATGGAGTGTGCATTACCAGACATGAAAGCGAGCCCAGTGTTACTTAAACACAAAAATAGAACAAACAACCGGGGATGCTAGCAATCTGAAACAAACAGAAATTGCTAGAGAAATTAAGTAGGACTGGCACATCCATGGAGAGAAAACAGAGTTAACATTTTGAGCCCAGTGACCCTTCTTCCAAACTGATAGCAGCTAGGTAAAGGTGTTATAGATTGGGGGAGAGGGGGTGTGGTGAGCAGATAGGTGGAGATAGAAAGAGGAAAAATGGGCAATCAAAAGGATTATTGATAGCCTGGGAAGAACAAAAGCTAGATAGGTGATAATGAGGCTATGAGTGTTTATAAATGAGTTGGTTAGTCAAGATGGTGGCAGAGCGAGACGTTCCAGCTGGAGCTCTTGTGCTCTGCCCGTTCTTTTCTTTTACTTCTTTTTTTTTCAAACTTTCAACTTTTACTGACCAGAGGCGAATGATGGAGACCAAAGGGAGCTGGCACAGGAGCAGCGAGCCCCAGAGTCAAAGCCCAGGCCAGGCTGATGTGGCAGCAGCAAGTCTAGGCAAGTTCCAGGCCATGTCAGCATGGAGTTAGCGAGTCCAGGTGAGTACGGAAGCAAGGCCCAGGCCAGGCCTGCATGGAAGCAGCAAATCCAGGCGAGTATGGAGGCAAGTCCCAGGCAAGGCCAGCATGGGGGCGACAAGTCCAGGTGAGTCCCGGACCTGAGTGGAGCAGAGGCCAGAGCAGGGGCAGCGGCGGGTCCCTTGGAGACTGCAAGTGAGGCCTCCAGGATTGATGCCCATCATCTCCTATGCACTTGGCCCAGTGGTTTGAAAGCTGGCACAGACTTGGTTAAAAGACTAAAGTGTGAATACTTTTTAAAAGAAAGCTTCTTTTATCCTTTATTCTTTCATTGAACTTTTATTTATTCTCTCAACTCTGTAACAAATACTCAAATATACTCTACCTGGGTACCCTGTGCCTAGCATGGTGCTGAGAGGTGACATATACAAACTTTTCACTGCACTCATTTGAGTGCATGTGACAATGAAGGCTAAATTCTAATGCTAATTCTGGTTCTCCTCGATGACTTTTGCCCAACCCCACAATCCATGTTTTGGCTTGACATGTTTTGCTTCCAACACAGATAAAACATTTTCACGCACTCATAGCCCCGATTATCACTTATCTGGCATCTCTTCTCCCCTGGCTCACTATCAACAATCCCTTTATATGCCTAAATCTTCCTCTCTCTCACTGAGCTCCATTTCCACCTATGCACTCACTCCTTTTCTCACCCACCTCTTGTCATCAACATAAATTTCACATTTTCCTAGCTGCTATCTGATTCCCTATCTGTCACTGATTCAGAATGTTAACTGTTTTCTTTGCACAGATGTTGGTGGGGAACACAGAAATGCCAGAGTTACTAAATCAATATTTTGCTTCAGATTTCGAATCGGAGGACACTAGTACAATCCCAATACTAACAGATAATGCAGAGGTTATAGGAAGGGAGAAAGTATCAACAAAGATAGTGGATCCATTGATTATAATATTAAAATTATCTGGATGTGGGAAAGGTTCAGTGGATTGGAAGCATCTAACCATAGAAGCATACAGTACAGAATCCCCTTTTGGCCCATCAAATCTGTATTGCCATAAAATAGACTACAACCTGCACTAGTCCTACTTTCCCACACTAGGTTCTTGGCTTGCATGTTATTACACTTCAAGTGCTCATCTAAGTAATTTTTAAAGGTTGGAGATAGTAAGAACTGTGGATGCTGGAGTCAGAGATAACACAGTGTGGAGCTGGAGGAACACAGCAGGCCAGGCAGCATCAGAGGAGGAAGAAAGCTGATTTTTTGGGTCGGGACCCTTCTTCAGAAATGGGGGAGGGGGTAGGGGGCTCTGAAATAAATTGTGAGAGGAGGGGTGGGGCTGGGGAAGGTAGGTGGGATGGTGATAGGCGAGTGCAGGTAGGCAGTGGTGGGGATTGGTCAGTGAGGTGTGAGGAGCAGATAAGTGGGAGAGAAGACAGACAGGTCAAGGAGGCGGGGATGAGAGGGAGATAAGTAGGAGAGGCGGGGATGCAAGGGAGATAGGGAGGAGAGAAGATGAACAGGTCAAAGAGGCGGGGATGAGAGGGGCTGGGGAAGGTAGGTGGGATGGCAATAGGTGAGTGCAGGTAGGCAGTGGTGGGGATTAGTCAGTGTGGTGGGAGGAGTGGATAGGTGGAAGAGAAAACGGACAGGTCAAGAAGGCGGGGAAGAGAGGGAGGGTTGGTCATGGGATGAGGCCGGGGGTGGGGAGATTTTGAAGCTAGTAAAGTCCACATTGAGACCATTGGGTTGTAGGCTCCCAAGGCAGAATATGAAGTGCTGCTCCTCCAGTTTCTAGGTGGCGTTGTTGTGACACTGGAGGAGGCCCAGGGTGGTAATGTCGTCCAGGGAGTGGGAGGGGCAATTGAAGTGGTTCGCGACTGGAAGGTGTTGTCGTTTGTCGCGTACCGAGCGCAGATGCTTTACAAAGCAGTCTCCGAACCTTCGCTTGGTCTCACCGATGTACAGGAGGCCACATCGGGAGCAGCAGATGCAATAGACCACATTAGCGCATGTGCAGGTGAACATCTGTCTGATGTGGAAGGTTCTTTTGGGTCCTGTGTTGGAGGTGAGGGAGGAGGTGTAGGAGCAGGTGTAGCACCTCCTGTGGTTGCAGGGAAAGGTGCCAGGGGTGGTGAGGCTAGTGGAGAGTGTGGACCGGACGAGAGAGTTGCGGAGAGAGCAGTCCCTATGGAAAGCAGATAGGGGTGGGGAGGGAAATACATCCTTGGTTGTGGGGTCAGATTGCAGGTGGCGGAAGTGGAGGATAATGATGCGTTGAATCCAGAGGTTAGTTGGGTGATACGTGAGGACAAGGGGCATTCTGTCTTTGTTTTTGTTGCGGGGAGGGGGTGTGAGGGTAGAGGTGCGGGAAACGCAAGAGATACGGTCGAGAGCGTTTTCAACCACAGAAGGGGGGAAGAAGGGGTCCTTGAAATATGAGGACATCTGTGATGTTCGGGAGTGGAACGCCTCATCTTGGGATCAGATGTGGCGGAAGCAGAGGAGTTGGGAGTAGAGGATTGCATTCTTGCAGGAAGGAGGGTAAGAGGAGGTGTAGTCTAGGTTTTGATTTTTAGGTTTTTAAAGTTTAAGATTTTTAAAGGTTGTCAGGTTACTGCCTCAACCACCTTCCCAGGCACTGCATTCCAAACCCCCACCATGCTCTGGGTGAAAAATCCTTTCCTCAAGTTGCCTCTAAGCTCCTGCCTTTCATTTTAAAATTATGCCCCTCATTATTGATTCTTTGACTGAATGAAACAGCCGCTTTCTATCACCTTGTTCGTGCCCCTCATAATGGTATACACCTCTGTCAGGTTCCCCTTCAACCTTTTATGCACCAAAGCAAACAACTCAGGCTTATCCAGCCTTTCTTCATAGCTGAAATGCTCCATCCCAGGCAACATCCTGGTGAATCTCCTTCTTCCTCTTTCCAATTATGTCCTTCCTATTGTGCAGCAACCAGAACTGCACCCAGTACTCCAGCTGTGACCTAACCAAAGTTCTGTATAGCTTCAACACGCCCTCACTGCTTATATAATCTATGCCACCACTGATAGAGCCAAGCATCCTTGTATGCCTTCGTAACTACCCTATTAACCTGTCCTGCTGCCTTCAGATATCTGTGGACAGGCACTCCGAGATCCCTCTCTTCTTCTACACTTCCTAGTGTCCTACTATTTAATGTAATATCCTTAATCAAACAGGATGGGAGACAGAAATTTATCGAGTTAGTTTACAACGTATTGTTGCGTAATTGCTCAAATCCATTCTTAAGGAAGGCATAACAAGACATTTAGAAAGTCAAAATGCAGTTCATCAGAGTCAGCATGGTTTTATGAAAGGTAAATTACATTTGACTAATTTGCTAGAGTTCTTTGAAGATGTAACAAGCAATGTGAATAATGAGAATCGTGTACATGTCTTATATTTTACTTTATTCTTTATTCATTCACGGGATGAGGGTGTTGCTGGCTAGGCAGCATTAATTGCCCATCCCTAATTGCCCAGAGGGCAGTTAAGAGTCAACCACGTTGCTGTGGAGTCACATGTAGGCCAGACCAGGTAAGGATGGCAGTTTCCTTCCCTAAAGGACATGAGTGAACCAGATGAGTTTTTCCAACAATCAATAATGGATTCACGGTCACCATTAGATTCTTAATTCCACATATTTATTGAATTCAAGTTCCACCATCTGCCATGGCGAATCACCTGGCAACGACCTAGGAAAAGACAACGGCAGAAACAGCCCTGTCGACCGTGCAAAGTCCTCCTCACTAACACCTGGGGGCTAGTGCCAAAATTGGGAGAGCTGTCTCACAGACTAGTCAAGCAACAGCCTGATATAGTCATACTCACTGAATCATACCTTACAGACAATGTCCCAGACACCACCATCACCATCCCTGGATATGTCCTGTCCCAACGGCAGGACAGACTCAGCAGAGGGGGCGGCACAGTGGTATACAGTCAGGACGGTGTTGCTCCAGGAGACCTCAACATTGACTCCGCACCCCATAAAGTCTCATGACTTCAAGTTAAACATGGGCAAGGAAACCTCCTGCTGATTACCAAATACCATCCTCCCTCAGCTGATGAATCAGTATTCCTCAATGTTAAACAACACTTAGAGGAAGCACTGAGGATGGCAAGGGCACAAAATGTACTTTGGGTGGGGGATTTCAATGTCCACCACCAAGAGTGGCTCGGCAGCAGTACTACTGATCAAGCTGGTTGGGTCCTAAAGGACATAGTTGCTAGACTGGGTCTGCGGCAGGTGGTGAGGGAACCAACAAGAGGGAAAAACATACTGACCTCATCCTTACTAATCTGCCAACTGCAGTTCCATCTGTCCTTGACAGTATCAGTAAGAGTGACCATCGTACAGTCCTTATGGAGACGAAGTCCCGCCTTCACATTGAGAACAACCTGCATCGTGTTGTGTGCCACTATCACTGTGCTAAATGGGACAGACTTTGCACAGATCTAGCAACTCAAGACCAGGCATCCCATGTGGCACTGTGGGCTATCAACAGCAGCAGAATTGTACTCCAGCGCAATCTGTAACCTCATGGTCCGGCATATCTCCTCTCATACATTACCATCAAACCTGGGGATCAACCCTGGTTCAATGAAGAGTGCAGGAGGGCATGCCAGGAGCAGCACCAGGCATAACTGAAGATGAGGTATCAACCTGGTGAAGCCATTAAACTGGACTATTTGCATGCCAAACAGCAAAAGCAGCAAGTGATAGACAGAGCTAAGTAATCCCACAACCAACAGATCAGATCTAAGCTCTGCAGTCCTGCCACATCTAGTCGTGAATGGTGGCGGACAATGAAACAACTCACTGGAGGAGGAGGCTCCATAAATATCCCCATCCTCAATGATAGAAGAGCCCAGCACATCAGTGCAAAAGATAAGGCTGAAGCATTCGCAGCAATCTTCAGCCAGAAGTGCCAAGTGGATGATACATCTCGGCCCCCTCCAGTGGTCCCC